TTTGTTTGCTGGCCAATTCTCATCTGAATTTTGTGTGTCTGACTTGGACCACGCAAGGACCACCAGTCATCCTTTGGAGGGGCTTTCTCTTGGTTAGCTGCAGATGATTGCCTAGGTGAGGCAAATCCCACCTGAGATGGGTAGGATTGGTGGGCATTGTTGCTTGCAGTGCTGTTTCATGGGGTTTTGCAGTGCTGGAAAATCCGAAGGTGATGACAGCAGTGGAGTGAAGACCTGGTCCTCTGTCACCCATGTCCTACCTAGGCTTTTGGTCCATTGACTCAGGCCTAGATGCTCCCATTCTACCTGATGTAAAGCCATTTGGCCAGGTGGGGGGCATAAAAAAGATGTGCATTGGAAGCAAGACAGAAGAGGAGACAACTGGAATGACTGTCTGAGCTCCAGGGTTGGCCTGGGGCAGGGTCTCAGCGTGGTCCTGTCCTGCTTCCTGAGAGCTTCAGCACCAATGGCTGCAGTTTCCTGACTCTTCAGGCAGGTGGATCTGGTCTCATTTTTTTCAAAATAGTTTCCTTGATGGGTTTTTCACTCATGGTCATGCAAAAGTCTTAAAGATGGTCAAAGCTACATGAAATTGTGTAGAGTAGCCCCTGGCTTGGAGGGGACTGGGTGAAATTAGCAGATGAAGTCACCAGGAAAATCTGCTGGGGCCACTCCATATTTATCTCAGAATCACAGAATCATTAAGGCTGGAAAAGACCTCTGAGATCACCAAGTCTGACCATCACCCAACACTCCCATGACCATTAAACCACGTCTTCAGGTGCCACATCTACACATTTTTTGAACCCCTCCAGGGATGAGGACCCCACCAGCTCCCAGGGCAGCCTGGGTCAATGTCTCACCACTCTGCCAGAAAAGAAATTCTTCCTAATATCCAGTTGAAACCTCCTTGAGCCCATTTCCTCTCATCCTATTTCTGGTTCCTTGGGAGAAGAGAGCAACCCCCACCTCACTTCAACCTCCTTTCAGGGGTTGTCAGGAGCCAGAAGGTCTCTCCTCAGCCTCCTCTTCTCCAGGCTAAACACCCCTAGGTGCCTCAGCAGCTCCTCATAAGATGTGTTCCCTCCAACTTGGCTGGAAAAAGAAATGTGGATTCCTTATATGCCAACATACCTGGGGTTGAGCTCTGGAAATGCAGTGAGCCCTGGAGCTGCCCATGGACCCACCCTCCCACCAGCCATGTCCCTGGTAGGAGCTCTTCACCAAGGATGTGGGGTCTTGCTGACAGCCCTTACTGCAGCCCTGCTGCACTAATAGAGTCTCTCCTTACCCAGAGGTGGGACCTTCTCAAGCCAATGACTGTTCCTGAATGTTGGAGGCACTGACCAGATGGTTAGGGAAGCAATGGGGTTTCTGCTTCTCCACCACTCAGCACTCAGTGGTACGTTGGCACAACTGATGCACTATCCAAGCAGAGGTTTTCAAGGATGGAAGATCTTTTTTGGATCCTTTTTTATGCCTTTTTTAGGTCAGTCCCAATTAACCAAGCATGTATTGGAGGGAGAACCTCAGTTTTTTAAGGACTAACTCTTAAGGGAGAGCTGTAGGGTGCTGGGTTTGTGTTGGTGAGTAGTGGACCTCTCTCTCCAGGGGCTTTCTCTGAAGAAGAAGACTCACCAGGAGATGAAAAATGTACAAGAGCACGAGGAAGCCAAAGCTGGGACTTACCCAAAGAGCCAATATTGATAGAGATGACAGGGCAACGTGTTTGAGATAGTGGTGTGGCTGAGACTGACAGCCGTGGGAGGAAGGAAATAAAAGAGATCCTTTTTTTTTTTATATTGCCTGCCTTTTTCTGCCTGTGAATTAAGATTCTGGATCTGACTGAAATACCAGGGGAATGGGAGTACGTGGAGGAAGAATGGAATCAGCTTGAACCACCACTGTGCAGAGACAATGAACGGGGGACCTGAAGCCAGGGATTTTCCCCCCTCCCTGCTCCTTCAGAGCCATTTCATCCCATTTTCCTTTGTGTTCCTGCCTGGTGCAGTGTCACCTTGAGCCTCTTTGGCTGTTATTTCCCATCCCCTGGTTTACAGCCTGGCGCTGTGGCTTGTGGTCCTTAATTTGGTTTCCAGTGGGCACATGTTTCTTCAGGCTGCTGGAGAAATCAGAGTACAGTGCTGTGTGCTGCTTGTTTGGTGCTGAGGATTGCAGGCCAGTCAGCATGCTGCTGTTAGCACGATGGCTGGGGACTTTGCTTGAAGTGTTAATTAGCAGTAATTAATATGAAGTGAAAAATTAATACCCTATGTCAGCTTTCTTTGCTAGTTATATCAACACCGAGGCTCAGAGCTATCTTGAAGCTTATGTTTGCATAAGAGCTTGGTCTTGTTGCCATCATGTTGGGAAGATACTTAAATGCCCTCCTGTCATAAATGGTAAAGTAGTTACTCCTAAAATAACAAAATAAGCTGTAGGCTCTGACAGGTCCAGTTTTCTTGGGGTGTGCATGCTCTTAGTAGGACATTTCAAAACCAGTTCAGTTGTAGTGGACACCTTCAGCTTTTTATCACCTTATAACTCTCTTATCAGCATCATGGGAGCACCACAAGATTTAACTACACTACCCAGCAGCTTATCTTTCTTCTTGGTGTTTATGTTCTTGTCCCTGAGTTCTGTTTAAGATGATGGATTCGTTGTGTTTAAATTGATCTCGCTGTTTCTCTCCATTCTTTGAACTTTTTTTTAGTAGACCAAGATTACCTTCCATCACTGTCTGGTCCAAGGCAAGGATGACAACAGTTGAATCTACTCGAGGTTTAGCTTCTGCTGACACCTCCCCTCCTCTCACATTTAACAGACTTGATGTAAAATCCTGATAGTTGACCAATTTATTATGAATGATATTTAAGGAAGCATTCTTTACCAAAGAAGAAGTGGGTTTTTTTTGACTTTCAGGAGACTGATTGCTTCTAGTTTCTTGGTTAATTGAAACTTAATATACACAGGGGATGAGTGATAGATATGTTCTGAGATTAGCTACACTCAAAATACTTGTAGTATATAATACATTTAATTCATTAGCAAGTCTCATGTCAAGGAAGAATAAAGATGAAGTGCTGTAGTGGTCACCATGGTGGGGAAGTGACCATTACTTATGGAGTGTTCAAGGAATACTGAGCACTTGGCAAAGAGATCAACAAGCAGATGGCAGTCATAGAATCATAGAACGCTTTGGGTTGAAGGGACACTTAAGGGTCATCTAGTCCAACCCCTTGCATTGAGCAGGGACATCTGCAGCTAGAGCAGGTTGCTCAGAGCCTCATCCAACCTCCCCTGGAACATTTCCAGGGATGGGGCATCTCCCACTTCTCTGGGCAACCTGTTCCCTATATTCCTTTTAAGTAGTCTGGATCTACTCTTTGTTGGTTTAAAGCCATTAGTCCTTGTCCTGAATGTCCTAAAGTCACCATGTTGCAGCTGTAATTGCTCTGTCAGACAGTCCCACCATGGTTCAGTTAATGGATGTCACACCCTTGACACGCTCCTCATCTTTTCCAGTTCCTCCTGTAGCTGCTTGCAGGTGCCTTTCCTCCTCACCATTTTCATTGGAACAGCCTTAAAAACTGGAAATGAAAAACCTTCTTTCTATTTTACAACCACCATATCTGGTCTTCCTGAATATGCGACCTGAGTAGTAAATGTTGAAAAAAAAATCCCATAATATTTTTATAATCTTATTACCTCCTGCTTTGCCTGGCCTCTGGCAGTAAACTTTTTTTTTTTCCTACTTTTAGTCATGCTTCTTGCAAGAGCATTTGGTGTCAGTGCTGCCAGCACACTCATCTCTGCCACGCAGGTCTTGGAGGCATCTGCTAATAAGCAGGACGAGTCCTCCTCGTTGGATATTCTGGACACACACGTCCCTACAACCTGTCTTTGCTTCAACATATCTTGTGTGAATAGCTGCTTCCCTCTGTGCCCATAACCCGAGCTCTTGGTTTCTCTTTCTCAGTCCTCCTCTGACACCTAGTCATTCATCACCATCTCAGAGTTTTCCTCCAAAGCTCATTTTGGACTCCTTTTTAATCTACCTCTAAAGTTGTACCTCTGGGTAGTGGTTGTCTGGTGGTTTACTGTAGCTAGAAATACAGTTCTCATTTTGTCTGGTGCCTGCATCAAGTTCTACTCACTCTCTATGCCCTTTCTCATGTAATTTTCATCTCTGCATGTTTTTATTCCACTTTATATTTACTATGGTCATTCCTTCTAGAAGAGTCTCCTCTGCCAACATAACCCAGTCTGCACCTGAGTTAGTATTTGCTGCCCTGCATGGTGCTAACTTGTGCAGCTACCTTAGGTCAGTCTCCATTCAAAAGCCATTTGCAGCCAGCCCTGTTTCATTGGGGTATTTGCATTTTCCATGCTGAACTTTATTATCTAGAATTTTTTCAGTCTCACCAAGTATTTTCCATTCAGTGTTTCCTGTTTTGTTATCACAGATAACCTTTATATAGCTATATGCCCTTTATATACCTTTATTTTACCTTTTATTTTATACCTTTATATATAGATAGACCCTTTGGGTGTTTGATTATTTGTGGTGTGAAAAATATCTCACACAGTGTTAGCCATCAAGAAGTTGGAAGCCAAAGGCTGTATTTGCTTGAGGATGGTTGAGTTGCTCTTCCCTGCCTTTTTTTTTTGGGTGGGGGCATTGTTGTGCCATCTTCTGGGCTGGTTCTTCCCTCTCTGTTGGTGATCCAGAGAGCTGGACTGAGCTTTGAGTCGTGGCTGTTTTGGATGCTGTTTATTACCTCATTATCTTCTCTGTTGTTACTATTGTTGTTCTTGCTGTTATTGGCACTGAGGTCCTTTGTTGTGGTTCCTCGTCCAACCCTAGCTTCATCTTGGAGGAGGGATGAGGATTGAAGGGTTACAGTCAACATGGGATAACTTGAGAGGCATTAGGAAAGGCTGAGGGACTGGGTTGGTGTAGGTAGAACAAATGACTCATCTTTTTCTTTCTTTTCCTTTCAGCTTGTCCTCTAGGCACTCCCTGCTGCAGGATGAATTAGGAAGGCAAGACCTCTTCCTCTGAACCATGGAGACCAGGGCATCCTTCATCGCCACCATGCCGGAGACCCAGCATCTCTCCCCAGAGAAGGGTCAGAGCCCAGCCAATGGCAACGTGGAGCAGTTTGATTCAGGTGAGCTCTCCTTCACCTCCGTGGTCTGTCTTCACTGTCCTAGCCCTCCAACTGACCTCTGGTGGGGATGGGGACAGCTGTGTTGCCAGGGGTGGCTGTACAGCTTCAAGGCCTTTTTTGGGTCTTATGGATTAGTCTTTGTCCCATGGTTGGGAAGTTTGAGCTTTTCTTCTTCTGGGTCTTGTCTGCAGTACGTAGCAGCTATTCAAAATTGAAACAAAAGACAATAGAAAACCTTTCCCAGGATATTGTATTGTGTTCTTCCAGTCTCTCCACCCTTTTTTATTTTGTTGAAGTTCTGTGCTTAAAGAGAGGAAATGAAGGTTCAGAAATCACAGCATTTCTCCTTTGTTTTGACCTTCACCCTGATTTCCTTCACAGTTTTTTTGAGTGTTTCAACTGAGAGGGCTTCACAAACATTGGTCCAGCCAGCAGAGAGCTGGTCACATGTTGTGCTTGTGCCCCTGGGTGTGACTGGGCGCTGTGTAATGCTCTGGATGAGGCACCTAAAGGTGAGGGTTCACTGCACTAGGTTTGAGCATCATCATGGTAGATATAGAAAAATAAGTGCAAGCTTCTGGTGATTTCTGCTGGAAATAGGAGCTTTAACTTCCCATATCTGGCCTCAGCAGGAGCAGACTACATCTTATGGTGAAGCTGCACATTATAGCTAAACCAGAGCTGCTTTCTTTCTGATGCCAGAATGGGAGACTCCTCTTTACACCACCTCTACTCTTGCGCCACCTCTGCTGCCCATTATATCCTGGGCTGAGTCAATCAACTCCCTAAACCAACAGAAAAGTAGTCCAGAAAAATAATTCAGTGATTTTCTGCCAGCTTTGTGAGTTCAACTGGCTGGAGGAAGAGGAGGGCCAGAGCACATGCTGGTGGGCATGAGCATGAGGTGCAGCTGGCCAACCATAGACATTGGTTTTGGAATGAGAAAAAGTGGGTTGTGGGAACCCAGGGAAGTTCAACAAGGGCAAGTACTGAGTCCTGCTCCTGGGGAGGAGTAACCCTGTGCACCAGTACAGGTTAAGGAAAGCAACTTTGTGGAGAAGGACCTGGGAGTCCTGGTAGACAAGTTCCCCATGAGCCAGCAATGTGTCCTTGTGGCCAAGGGGGTCAGTGGTATCCTGGGGTGCATTAAGAAAAGTGTGACCAGCAGGTCAAGGGAGGTTGTCATCCCCCTCTACTCTGCTCTAGTCAGGCCATATCTGGAGTATGGTGTCCAGTTCTGGGCTCCTCATTTCAAGAGAGATGAAGAACTACTGGAGAGAGTCCAGTGGAGGCTACAAAGATGATGATGGGCTTGGAGCATCTCTGTGCCAGGACAGGCTGAGAGCCCTGGGGCTGCTGAGCTGGAGAAGAGAAGCCTCAGAGGGGATCTGATCAGTGCTGAGCAAGAGCTAAAGTGCCCCGGGGGGCAAGAGGATGGGGCCAGACTCTTCTCTCTGGTGCCCAGTGACAAGACAAGGTGCAGTAGACAGAAATTGAAACCCAGGAAGTTCTACCTAAATGTAAGGAAAACATTCCTTCCTGTGAAGGTGCCAGAGCCTGGAGCAGGCTGCCCAGAAAGGTCGTGGAGTCTCCTCTGGAGAGATTCCAAACCTGCCAGGAACACCCTCCTGGCAACCTGCTCTGAGCGACTCTACTTTAGGAGAAGGTTTGGATGAGGTGATCTCCAGAGGTCCCTTCCAACCCCACCATTCTGTGGTGCCTAAATTTCTTCAGGGATGAGGATCTTGGCGGTTCTCCCAAGACCATGGCAGAGATTTGTGCTTGATGAGGTTTCTCACCCCCCATGCCTCACTTGCTGTGTTAACTGCTGAAGCATTTCAGTTCTCTCCTCACTCAGACAGTCACTCCTGTGTCTATATGCTATAATAAACCACTAAGCAATTTCCCACAAATGTGTTTTCCTCCAGTGAAGCCTGGGAAAAATCTGGTTTTTTTTCTGGAGCCCCAAGTTTTGAGTCTTTTATCCCTTTTATTTCCCATAGCCAAACATCCCGGGAGGCTGCTAACAGCTGGAACAGTTGCATGTGTATGGTGTCAGTGCACGAGCACTTTAAAGCCACTGAGAGGCTCACAGATAATGACTTGTTGATTTTATTTGCCATCCTGGGCTTGTTTCTCCATCACCGTATTGTGGGCTAGCCAGCCTTGACTCTTTCATTAAGGAAGAGGACTGGGCCTAAGTACCAATAATTGGACAGGGAGCTGGTGTGTAAAACAGGCCATATTTATCATCTCAGAGGGGGCTCTGTGAAGTCTTGGCACTTGGGGCTCTGCAGCTCTCCAGCAGAGCCAAGACTTTGTTCCTGGAGCGTGTGACTTGAGGATCAAGGAGCAGATGGGTTGGTGGGAGCTGCTTCTCAAGTGGGCAGGGTCCTCCTGGGCCTGTGTTAAAGAGACTTGGCATTTCTCTCTCTGGCTTTTAGTTGGGGGAGGTGGTGGTGGTGGTCTCTTCAGGGGGTTGGGAGAGGTTGGGACGAGGTGTCCTCTGCATCTCAGCAGTAGGGCTTTTCTGATGGGTGGGGGAGTTTGTGCAGGGTCCTGTTAGGGATGTGGATGGGGCTGGGTCCCTTGGGCTGATCTCATCTGTGGGCCACCACTTCTTCTCTGCTCTGGATGTCCACCTGCTGGATTTCTAGAAGGAAACAACATCCATTAAAACAAAAACCCCCAGACATCTTGGGAACTGACAAAATCCTTTGTGGTAAGACGAAGCAAAATAAACCACCTGATGCTGTGATAAATGAGGACCCTGACATTATTTTTACAGACCTTGTAAAAGTAATTTCCTGATAAAGTCTGCAGATAAAACACAATGGAGGAGTCAGGCTTGTGATGTGTCTGAGAGAAATGAACTGACAGAATGGGGAGGCTACAGCTCTTGCTGCCTTCCCCCAGGGTCTTGAAGCCTCTCTGGGTTTAGAAAAGAGAGATCTGGGTGATATTTTTTCGGGCAGGTGCTGGTGTGAGTTTTGCTGGGCTGCCTGTGAATGAACCTGTTGCTGGGGCTGTAGGAACAGTGGGGCCAGTGAGCCTGGAGAGTAGGTCACAGGTAATAAGATTATGAAGCACAGGAGGACTTGTTGCATCCATGTGCTAACGTAGGTAAGGTGCTGGAGAAGATGTTGCCACCCTGGTGACATTTCTTCCTGCAGAGGTGTGGAGGTTGTATACTGAACTGCCTAAAAATCTCTTGGTTCCACTGCTCTGTGGAGTGGCTCCTTCCCATAACTCTGCTGAGGACACAACACTGCAAGCACAGATGGATGAAGAAGCAGGGAGCAACCAGGCAGAGGGGATGCACCTTCAGCTTTTCCTCTTAGATGCCTCTGACTTTCAGTGGGACAGGGATTGGTTGTGCTCAGGGTAGAAAGCTGCTGAAGCATCAGAGGAATATTAAGCCTGGGCTGGGTAACCATATCTGGCTGTCTGTTGACATACTTGATTTTAGAGGCTCAGCCTTGAAAATCTGTAGACCTGGTTCTTCTCTAAACCATTAACTCCACAAGGTTGCAGACATGAAGGCTGAAAAATTTCTTGTATCATCTAAGTTGCCTGCCTGCATGATAGAGGTAAGGGAAACTCTTAGCAATTATTTTCACCCAGCTCCTACCTTGTGGTTAAACTGTGGCTTAACTTTCAGTCAAGAACAAACATACTCCTTTATTTTGGTTCGGGTGTCTCAAGTAGAGCCAGCTTGTATTCCTGGAGGTTTTTGCAAGAATTCCAATCAACAAAACAAAGCCCATCCTTTATTCTACATCGAATTTGTCTATTTTCAGGTTGTAATCATGGGGTTGGTTTATTTTTTTTATGTTGCTAAGCTGAAAATTCATCTAGTATCCACTTTATCACAGGAATAAATATTGATTTCCATCTTCATATTTAAGCAGGTTGAGTTGAAGGCGAGAAATCAGAGCTTAGGCTTGATGTAGAAGTGTGCAAAGAGTTTGACAGCACTGACAGCTCAGTGCTCCTCGTGGAACTCCCAGACAGATCCTTATCCTCCACCAGCTCTGTCTCAAAAAGTCTCTTCTGATCCACTTTTTTCCCCTCACCTAAGTATGTCTGGCTCCATAGGCAACAGGAAAAAAAAAACCCCTTAGTCTTCCCCTTTTAATAATGAAAGATTCCCATTGCACAGCCTAATTTTCTGGTCCTGAAAACTGGAGACCTGTAGCAATCATTGCAATAAATTAACCCTGCTGTTTTCTTCATAAAACCGTCTGGGGAGGTTTCTTAATTCAGTTTGTCATGAGTCACTTTAATTACATCATGGCCACGCTGATGAATGTTTGGGCAGGTAAGGGTCTTGCAGAATTTGCCTGATAAATGCTCATTGCAAAGCGTTCATTGCTAGGCTGTAAATATTTTTGCTCTGAGGATGGAACTGGGTTTGTGAGATTGCTTGGGAGCAAAGTGAGAGCAATCAGATTGGGCTGATTTTCTGTAAGTGAAAGAAGATTTATCTTTAATTATTGCTGTGGGTGCTTCAGCAGTGGTTTGAGGCCTCAGCTCTGCTCAGGGTGGTGACAAAAAAAAAGTACAGTGGTAATGTCAAGTAGTTCACCATGGGGAAGGATTGTCTGGGGCAGTGGGATGGATGGGGGGGCACGATGCAGAGCCCCTGATCTGAAACAGGGCAAGGACAAGTGCAAGGAGTGAGAAGGCAGTAGTGGTCTGCTGAGGATGCTGGGGGGTTGGGGGGAAACCAGCTGTAGTTTTGGGGGAGGAGGAATGCATCGAGGCCTTGGCTGAGAGTTCTGGGTGGAGGGATGCTGAGGAAGAAGAGAAGGGGTGGCAGGACTGAACATGGGGCTCCCCAGCTGCATGGTTGGGGTGTTGCTCCACACACTGCTCAGCCAACAGAAGCAACTTTGAACATTGTCACTAGGACAGTGTAATTAGCAGTGCTGGGTGACCCCCATCTGGGAGGTGAGCATCATCCTACCCTTCTCATAGTGGGCAGGCAACAAGGGAGTCATCAAATACAAAATAAACCAGCACAGGTGCCTGTTGCAGTGGGACAGGTTTGTTCTCTCACTTCTGTGCAGAGTCATTTCTGGTCTCAAAGTGTTGGCTGCTGATGTCCCAAAGTCTGCTGGAAGTGTAGAGAGGGCTGGTCAAACCACCAAGGAGTAAACTAAACTTTCTGTTTGCCCTTGTGCTGATGTTTATGCTGGTTGCTGGTCTCACCCTGAACTGTTTGACACAACTTTTGCCTTCTTTGGCTGTGGTTTAGGCTGCTTTGCTTTATTTTTGTTTCTTTTGTTCTCTTTTTAACAGATGAGGGCTCCAGCATTGAGGATATAGACTTCAACTGGGATGAGTTCCTGGAGGAGACAGGAGCCAGTGCTGCTCCCCACACCTCCTTCAAACACGTACGTGCTTTGTCTGAGCCTCCTGGCCATCACACACCTTCCCTCTTCTGGTCCTGAGGGGGTCCCTGTACAGCCAAAGTGGGGTCTGACCCTTTTGGGGAGAGATTGTCCCTCTGTGCATGTGGCAGCCTGTGCAGGAGTGGCTCCCAGCTGGTGTTAGGTGAACTCGGTGTGCTTGCATCACCTGCAGTCCCAGCTCAGAGCACTGTCTCTGCCACCACCTTCTCCTCTGCCTTGCAGTCAGGTTTTCCATTTTTGAGGTCTTCTGTTGCTCTCCTTTTGCTTATCATGCACTTATTTTTTTATCTTCATCTGTTTTTTTTCTTCTCTGTTCATTGCTGTGCATCTCAACCTGGGGATATTCATCTCACAAGAGTGCTTTATTTCTCCCAAGTTGCCCTCTTAATGCATGATTTACTGACTAGCAGGGTCACTCAGCACTAGACCCCACTGTGACCCATAGGAGACCATCTTTCAGTCTCCTGCCTGGAGCTGCTGGCTCAGGAGCATGAGAACCAAGTGCTTGGGTAGGTGGCACTCGGAGTGTGGCTCATACAGACAGTGTGGGCTCTGGCTCTGCTCCATGGTATTGCAAATGGCATTCAAAGTGCATGCAGAGGGTCTGGAATCTTGACTGGTCAAGATCAGAGCTTTGAAGAAAGGACTCTGTCTCCAAGCAGAGCCCATCACAGTCAAGGATATTTTTTAGGACCAGCTTCTCCACCTACCACCAGTTGTTTAACCTCTTCTATTCAGCTCCATGTGTGTGATGTCACCTGAGGACATGGGACAGAAAATAAGCAGATGTATGAGTTCCTCATCACAGTCAAGAGCATGCACATGTCACCACATTGGTAGATGTTTTTGAGGACAACTTTTGTCATTCAACCACAAGACTGTGCTGTCAGAGATGCTGCAGCCTAGTGGGAAGGTGTTGTGATGCCTTCATCTGTGTCAAGTCGTGGTGGTTCTCTCTCCTCAGCTGCAAGTCCTGTGAAGATAGTGCTGCTTATCCTCCTCCTTGACCCGTGAAATAGGTGTCAGCCTGTTCTGCTAGAGCTGCTCATCACTTACTCTGCTTCTTCTCACAGCTTCACTTGGCTGGTCTGTGTGCTCTGGAGGGTGTGGACGTTGATGGAAGTGAAGGGTTTTGGCTGTGATGCTCTGCAGTGTCTTACACTGAGTCTGTTTGCTGGCAGAGATGTCCTTTGGGAATGTCTAGTTGTGTGACAGTGTGAAAGCTTCCTGAAGAACCTGCTGCTGCTTTAAGCCAAGTCTTTATTTGGATCACGACTGTCATGCTATTAAACCACCTTTGTCTCCAGCTGATTTCTTGGGTTGTTTTGAAGGCGTAAGGAGCTGCAGTGATGAAAACCTCCCATTCCATCTACATCTGAAAAAATAGTGCAGTCCTCCTTGAACCAGCAGCTATCTGGAGACAGCATTTTGTCTCAGGTTGCTGCTCCAGGCCCGAATCCAGAGACCAGATCAGGTGAAAGCTTTGTGCTTCATGAAGCCCTTAAGGATGTATTTAGGTGCATGGAGGTGCCCACCTCATCCTGATGATCCTGGTGATGGTGGTGTCTCAACAGCACCTCAGTCCTGGGACTGTTGCTGTGAGGCAAGTTAGTGCTGAAAACACTCCCTAGTAACTGTGCTTTTGAGCCTCAAAAAAACCTGAGTCGGCCAGGAGCCTGGAAGCCATCAGAGATGTATTATCCATTTCATTCCACTCTTCATGTGCTTTCAATGCTGTGAGACAAATCAGTGCTGGAAACAATCCTTGGTAACTGTGCTTCACAGTCTAAAACTTGATCCTCAAAAAAACCTGAGTTGGCCAGGAGCCTGGAAGCCATCAGAGATGTATTATCCATTTCATTCCACTCTTCATGTGCTTTCAAGTCACTGGCCTCCAGAATACCACTTTGATCTCTGCTTGCAGTGAGCACAAGGAGAAGAACTACAAATGAATGTGTGTCTTGGATTATTTATCAGGACCCTTAGCATCACAAGAACTGAGATCCTGTGTTACGACTAAGTAGAGCAGCAAATGTCACAGACCTTCTTCAGTCTTAGACAGTCTCCAAAGGTCCCTTCCAGGTTCAACTAGTTTGTGACTTGAGGCATTGGCTGAGATCCTGTGTTACGACTAAGTAAAGCAGCAAATGTCAAAGACCTTCTTCAGTCTTAGACAATCTCCAAAGGTCCCTTCCAGCTTCAACTAGTTTGTGACTTGAGGCATTGATGCTGATGGAAGTGCCCACACAAGTAAAGACATGCCACTGACCCTAGGAAGACACCATAGGATGTGCCCACAGCAGCCCAAGTGTTTAACAGTGGTCCCTGCAGTGTCCTAGAAGAGATGCACTGTCATCTCGAGGGTCCTAGGACAAGTTACATGTGGCCTGTCACTGGTGAGATAAACAGGAGTGACATCTCCATCAGAGGGCAACACAGGCACTCAAAACCATTTGCTTCTTTCAGTGATGGATCATCATGGATCATCACAGCTCCATATTCACCAGGGTCCTGGGAGAGCAGATGGGTTGAGGCTTGAGCTACTGGGTGTGGATTTAGTGGAAGTGCTCCCCTTGGTCTGCCTGGTACAACATTCAGCCTTTGATGTTTGTCAGACCTCAAGAGGCTCTTCAGTAATTGTTATATGACTAATTACTGTAGCTGGGCTTAACTCCTAGAGGTGCTTAGTACCTGCCTTTCTACCTTGCGTGTGTCCTGTGGTTTGCCTGATGGAGCTGTGCTGTGGGAAATGCACCTTCACTGGAGTTGTGGTACCTTCTCCCAGGCAGCAGTGAGGTGTACCACGCTAAGATGGGTACCAGTCCTCTCTCAGATGGAGTGCAGCTGAGGTTGCTGCTGCTGGAGGGCCTCTTCAGAGCCTGCAGGACCTGGCATGATGAGGTGTGTGCCAGTGAAGTACAAATGGTCCTGCCCAGACAGACTGTCAAGGAGGTTATTGGATTAAGGAGGACCACAACCAACTCCTGTCCTATCCCAGAGCTGCTCTTTAAGGGCAGCATCATTCTGCTCAGTGGGGTAGGGAGGGTCTCCCTGCAAAGAAGAAAAGGTAACACCATTCTTTCTCCTCTTGTAAGGTTGAAATCAGCCTTCAAAGCAGTTTCCAACCAGGGATGAAATTAGAAGTGGCGAACAAGAGCAATCCAGACACGTACTGGGTGGCTACCATCATCACAACATGTGGCCAGCTCTTACTGCTTCGTTACTGTGGCTATGGAGATGACCGCAGGGCAGACTTCTGGTGTGACGTGATGACAGCAGATCTTCACCCTGTTGGCTGGTGTACACAGAACAACAAGGTCCTGATGCCTCCAGATGGTGAGTTCTGTGTGTTTTGGTAGGGTCACGCTTTAGTCTCGGGTTGGTGGTGAAACTCCAGATTTGCAGTCGTCTGGAATGGGTGCTCCAGATCCTCAGGCGTTGGTTGGTGTAGTTAAGGTCAGGTCCTCGTGGGTCAGTTTGCCAGTCAGCCCATAGCAAAGCCATTTTTGGCCTAGTTGGTGACAACAGGCTTCTATAGGAAGCTGCCCTAGCAAGGAAGCACTGCTAAATTGTGAAGCTGGGATTTTCAGTGAGGGGGGAGAATTATTCTGGTCTTGTAGGAAAGAAAGATGAACTTCAGAGTGAGAACAAACTAAAATAAGCAAGATCAGCTTGGGTGTAAAATCAGAAGGTGGCTGTGCATGCCATTGTCTTGCCCTGAAAGTTGAAAACCTTCCAGTGCCAGATTCTTGCAGCTTTTAATTCTAGTGGTAGATAAATATGATTAAAGAGAGCAAAATTTGAACATTTTAGGTTGGGGCATATCTTTTGAGGGCATATTTTGATTATCAGCTCTCAGGTGAACAACAGCTGAATGCAAGAGCTGTAGGTTGCTGAGTGGTACATGTGGAAGATTTTGATAATACAATTTGATCCCAGAATGTAAGAAAAATGTGGGGTTTTTGGCTACACACAGCAACAGAGCAGCTGGGTATCCTCACCACTGCATAGCTCCAAGCAGAGGCAGACTTCTCACTGTTTCTCATACGTATTCTCACCCCATATCCCATTTATTCTGGAGCGAGGGAAGAAGAGATGAATATTTAGCCTCCAGCTTGTGCATATGTGGAAGAAAAATCTCATTTAAGGATTCTACTGCTGAAGTTATTCTTTTACTTTCTGTCACATGCGACCATAGAAAAAAGTACATGTGCCAGTTGTGTGCCACGGGTGGCTTCTCCTGCTGGAGGTGTTGCCTGACTTCCCACTGAAGTGAGCTGTAGACAAGGTCTTTGAATCAGAGCTGACATTTCTGCCTTCTGCATGCCAAACTCTGAGCTCACCTTATCTTTTTGTTCTGGTCTGTGTGTTTTGCATAAATAGAGGATTGATTGCTTAAAAAAGAGAAGTGTTGGAGACAAATATGGCTGAGAAATGTCTTGGCTTAGCACTAGTAAATCAAGCTGATGGGAGAAGGGTTAGGTATGTTGTTTTATTGGTCTCTTAAACTACCTTTTATTACATGGATTATAATCAGTGTTACCAGAAGGGTGTACAGTGCTGTAAACTAAATCTCAAAATGTGAGGGGCAAGGGGCAAGAGATCTTATTGACGGACTTAATAGGAAACAACGATTGTCTTAGAGCTGGAGGCAGCTGCTTTCCATGGAAGTGTTGGAACCTACTCTTTGGGTTGTGGCTGCTTCATGTGAATTGTCTTCCTTGAGTGGCTGGAGACGTGCAGTGCATCATACCACCTCTCTTCTCTGTCTGGGTGATGTCACTGTAAACCAGGGTCTTCAATTTGGGCAAACGTCCTGTTTTTGTTTTCTTTTTTTTCCTCACTCCCATTCTCAGTGAATAAACTCTACTGGATACATCTTAGGGTAGTTTTCAGAAAGAAGAAGTTCAATGTGGTGTTTGTAATTCTGAAAGAGGTTTAAGCATTTAGAAACTTGAGTCATGTGTTAGCATGAGGCATCTAAAATGCCCAGGAGGATTTGAGGCTTCAGGGCTTCTCTGACCTGGGAAAGAGAGAGGTCCTAAATGTGCTCATGAATCTCACAGCTCCTCTGGGTGTTTGCCCTCAGGGTTCAGTCTGTGGTCAAAGGTGGGTTTTCAAAAGATTGTAGCTCTCATTGGGACATCGTAGGGTGGAAGCTGAATTTTCAGTAGTGCCTCTTGTCTTCTGTAGGGAGAACCAAGCTCTGAACGGGTTGCTCAGAGACAATGTGGATGCCCACTCCTTGGAAGTGCTCAAGGCCAAGTTGGATGGGACTTTGAGCAACCTGGTTTAGTGGGAAGTGTCCCATGGGAGAGGGGTTGGAATTATATGATCTTTAAGGTCCCTTTCAACCCAAACTATTCTATGATTCTGTGACCAGCTCTTGCAAGTAGCTTGTGGGTACGAGACTGGCTGTATGCAGATGTCTGGAGTTTGTCCTGTGCTTCATTCCTTTGCTGACCACTGAATTTATCTTGAGCCAAGCTTCACTGTGGCACTGAGAATTTCAGCTGGTGAAGCCTGCAGGGTCAGACTTTATTGGTTATGAACTGATATTCTCTATGAATGCTGTGGAAGTTCTGCTTTTTCAGCATTGCTTACTGTTTTGTTGACAAACCTTTGGAAGAAACGAAAGCCAACTTCAAATTGCCTGGACCCATTTTTTAAGGGCCTGATTCTGCACATCTTGACTATAGTGAGGAGATCTGTTGGCAAGACCATGCAAACAGCATGGTGAGGGCCAGTTATCTGTCGTTAGGGTTTGATTTTAATCAGCAGCTGAAGGCTTTGGTTAGAAAGCAGATCTGCTAAGGACTTGTTTAATGGGCAGAATACCAGCACTGGGACCATGGTCTGGTTCTGCTGACAAATCAGATCGAACTGATCAGAACTCAGGAGTGTGATGGCAGATGAGAATGGTGCAGAGTGATAGGGCGAAGAATTTAATGAGATGGGAGAGAGATGCAAAAAATAAAGAGCCTGTTCAGTTTAGAAAATCAATAGAGCTTGATTTAACGCTCAGCACACACAAGGCTTTGAAGGGGCAGCTGCCAAATCATTATTGTTTATGATCCCAATAGAAGGAAGTCATTTAATTTACAGACTGTTAGATGATTATTTATTGGGTGATGTTCATATTGCATCATGGTGCCTGTGAGTGTAGTGTCAAGTCATGTTATGTCCTCCCATGACACCATGGTGCCGTGCACTAGGATAAGGCTGCTCAAGCCCAATTCTTGACTTTGCAATCAAATGCATTGGCTGGTGAAGGGCTGGTGGGAGTGCACGTGTGCCGTGAGCTTCACCCTCTACCTCCTCCTTCCCTGCAGGAAATCAAAGGAGTAAAATTGTAGTTACTTCAAGCTTTGCCATTAATTATATTTTTCTCATTACAAATCGGTGTGTAATTTGAATTGCAAACTCAACTATCCTGGCAGAATAGATCTGTTTACCATTCAAAGTAAAATGAAAATTATTTAAATTAGTTAATATAGAACTCATTTGAATGGATTGGATGTTTATTCATGAACTAGCTGAGGCAAGTGTGAAGCTGTCCTTATGGTCTGTAGCTTTGGCACTGATCAGCTCTAAAGTCACGTCCTGGGACAGAGATTTCTATTTTATTGCACATTAACTGTGGTGCAGACCAGTGGGTAGCTACTGCCTGAGGTGGCTGAGTGTGAAATTTTCATCCTTTCTGACAGGACCCCTCAGGAATTGTAATTCATATGAGGAAGGACGACCTGCTTCAAAGTTCGTTGACAGTGGCCAGGCTGTGGTGGTATATTAGGATTTGTTTTCTGCACTACAGGGGTGGGATGTAGCAGACTTTCCATCAGTTAGTTGACAATTTCCCCATTATATTATCCTGAATGGAAAGAAGGACTTTATCCTCTCCTGTGTCTTACCCAAGTGGTGTCCTCCTCCCCAGCACAGAGCCGATGTGGTTGTTACTGAACATCCTCCATCTCTTGAGACGTTTTACCCTTGAGTATTAAACATTAAAGTCTAACAAAACTTTCCCTTACTAACAATTCCTCTCACTGTGAAAGGAAAAGTGACCTCTTGCCTCCTCTAGCCTGTTTTTTCCACGTGCTGTTTTGCTTTGTTGATGACAGTTGAGTTCATGAACACATTTACCATCGGGCAGAAGAGCAGCGTGGAGAACCTGACAAGCCTAGTAGCTAAATTATGCATTGTGAACCACGCAGGGAGCAGGGACAGCTTCTGATTGACACGTGGGTGTTTTTGTACAGATTGCAGATTTACAGCTGAGCCAACAGAGCCCAATCTCTCCTGGCACTCTCTTAATGCATTCTGGGACGCGCGAAAGACGCGGGACGACACGATTATTGTGTACACTGGTAATTGCTGCAGTGGTTCTGCTTTAATGTTATTGACAGATGGAAATTCAAAGAGGGCATTTCTGTGTGCAGGTCTGCCCAGCGAGCTGGAGTCTGCTTGCTGTGTAAACCAGGAGATGGAGGAGACTGGGAATTTAGCAGCAGGGAGGCAGCCGGGTCTGTGTTTTGATTTTACGATGAACTGGTGGAGGTGGGAAAGCCTCTGAATGCCATCTGTACCTGGATTTGGTGATCAAGATAATCAACAATACTGTGATTATGTGTAGGAAAGCAGCCTTCCCTCCTCTGTTACAACAATATAAGGAGAACTAAAGCTGAAAAGCCTGATCCTGGGGTGAAGTGAGTCCTTCTTGAATGGTGTTGAGCTTCATCAAGTGAAACACGCCATTAAGAGTCATGGACATAAAGAATGTTGTCTGTCTAGACTCTCTGTGAAGGCAAACATCATCATTTGGTCACTATTTGAAACAGATTTTTGTGTTTTACTCAGGTCAGGTTAACTTTTATCTTAGATCCAGGCCAAAGGAGGAGAATTTCTGGAGGGCTTTATTGCAGCCTTCCAGTGGCTGAAGGGGGCCTACAAGAAAGCTGGGGAGGGACTCTTTACAAGGGCTTGTAGTGATAGGATGAGGGGCAGTGGGTTCAAACTGGGAGAGGGGAGATTGAGGAATTAGGAAGTTCTTGAGGATAAGGGTAGTGAGACACTGGCACAGGTTGTCCAGGGAAGCTGTGGATGCTCCATCACTGCATAGGGCCATGTTGGCTTTGACCAGCCTGGTCTAGTGGGAGATGTCCCTGCCTGTGGCAGGGGATTTGGAACTAGATGATCTTTAAGGTCCTTTCCAACCCAAACCATTCTATGGTTCTATGAATTTCCCTCAGATTCGAAGTGCTGGATCTGAATCTTGGTGAATATGGATGAAAAAGGAGATAAAACTTGGACCACAACACACAAGGTTGCCTTCAAAT